GTAATTACTCATCATTCAAGGTTGTCCAGAGGATTCTATTGCCCCTGAAGATGCTGAAAAAGCCAATGACTCCCCAGAGGAAAATGTAAGTGTCTTATCTATCTTGCCTGCCATAAGTAAGAACTATCAAATCCAGTCTCAGCTAGAGGGGAAGTCCCTGCTTCTCCGGTTTCGCTGCCCAAGGGAGGAAAGGTTGCAGGGCATCACGCCTGGCGCTTTAGAGGAGATCACCAGCTATTCTCCCTTGTTAAGTAGTGTGGGAAAGTTGGCCCTGTGGTAAGGCACTAGGAGTAAGTTTCAGGACTTCAGGGTTCCATTTCTGGCTCTGTCACTGACTTCCTGGGAAAGTTACTGAATGTCTCTGGGCCTCAGCTCCCCCCTGTGACTGGGAGGGGGAATAGTGCTGCCAACCTCACAAGGATAAACTCATCAGTGTTTGTGAGGTGGTCAGGTACTGCAGAGATGGGGCCATATGAGACAGATACAGGAACTGCAGCCCTGAAATGCGGCACGTGCCTCCCCAAACTGCTACTGAGATTGCCAGGGTACAGCTCAGACGCTATTCTGCTGATGGCCATGAAAATGAAGAGGAAGGATGGTCTATAGTAGTTTGGGCAGTAGCCTGGGACTCAGAAGACCTGTGTTCCAATTCCTTGCTTTGCTGCTGACTTCCCTGAGTCAATCCCTTAGTATCCATGTCTCAGTTCCCATCTGCCCAATGGGGATAATAGCATTGCCCTGCCAAATATTTTCCCAGCTGCAACTGATCAGCACTGAATTCCTGATCAAACAAAGTGTCCAGAAAGCTGTAATCCAGCTGGAGGATAAGAAAGACAACAGCCAGCGAGCTACAAAAAGGATACAGGTCCTCTATGATGCACTTTTTCAGTCTCAGAGCAAGAATATATGTGAGTATAAAGAAAAGACCTTGTATTTGTGTGTGACTGGATATTCCAAGATGTTCTAAGAACAAACTGGATGGATTAGTGGTACAGTCAGCTAGGGCACTAGCATTACAGCTGTGGATTCCTGGATAAAAAAAATCCCATTTAGACATCAAATGCAAATGAAAAATGAGTGTGGAGGTCTTTCATGCTACTGTGCTGTCAACATTTGTTAAGTTCTATACAATTATTCAAGGCAACTGTGCAATCATCTTTAGTGATTAAATGGGATCCAACTTTAAGCAAATGAATGTGTAAATATTTCAAACTAAGTAAATGGAAGGTGCTTTTTTAGGGAGGGAAACTATGGTCTAATGGCACGTCTAGTCTGATTTGTCTAATCTTCATTGCCAAAACTAATGGAAGGAGTCACATAACTCGTCAAAAATTTACTGTGAAAACTTTCAATGGAAAACCTGCAGCTTTGGTTTCTGTGATCCAACCTGTCACAGTGGTGTAGTCGGCAGGTTGGATCACAGAAACCGTCCTGGGAGCAGCTACCCAATGTGCCAAGACTACTTCTATCCCTGTTTTCCCTGCCAGCTCAGAACTCCAACACCCTGTCTTGCTGAGCCAGACACTCCCATCTGCTCCAACACAGACCCAGGGTCTGAATTACTTGCCTCAAAACTGCAGGTTTACCTGAAAGCAGCTCACAGAAGTGTTCCTATCTTTAACGCTCAGATGCCCAACTCCCAATGGGGTCTAAACCCAAATAAATCTGTTTTACCCTGTATAAAGCTTACAAAGGGTAAACTCATAAATTGTTTGCCCTCTATAACACTGATAAAGAGATATGCACAGTTGTTTGCTCCCCCAGGTATTAATACATACTCTGAGTTAATGAATAAGTAAAAAGTGATTTTATTAAATGCAGAAAGTAGGATTTAAGTGGTTCCAAGTAATAACAGACAGAACAAAGTAAGTCACCAAGCAAAATAAAATAAAATATGCACATCTATGTCTAATTAAACTGAATACAGATAATCTCACCCTCAGAGATGCTTCAGTAAGTTTTTTCCTCAGACTGGACACCTTCCAGGTCTGGGCATAATTCTTTCCCCTGGTACAGCTCTTGTTCCAGCTCAGGTGGTAGCTAGGGAATTCTTCATGATGGCTCCTCTCCTCTCTTTGTTCTGTTCCACCCCTTTATATATCTTTTGCATAAGGCGGGAACCCTTTGTCCCTCTGGGTTTCCACCCCCTCTCACTGGAAAAGCACCAGGTTAAAGATGGATTCCAGTTCAGGTGACATGATCACATGTCACTTCAAGACTTCATTATCCACTTGCCAGCACACACATATACAGGAAGACTCACAGGTAAAACACAACCATCTGCAGACGATGGTCCTGGTTAATGGGAGTCATCAATATTCTAAATCACCATTAATGGCCCACACTTTGCATAATTACAATAGGACCTCAGAGTTATATTTCATATTTCTAGTTTCAGATACAAGAGTGGTACATTTATACAAATAGGATGATCACATTCAATAGATTATAAGTTTTGTAATGATACCTTACAAGAGACCTTTTGCATGAAGCATATCCCAGTTACATTATATTCACTTATCATATTTTTATAAAACCATATAGACTGCACAATGTCACACACTGCTTGGAAAATGTTTTTCACCCCTCCCTCATGGAAATTTTCAACTTTTTTTTTCCAGAAACCAAACACCTGAAAACCCAAAATTTTTTGACCCAAAACTGCTGAAATCCAAAATTTTTGGCTTTCAGTTGAAATTTTTCAGGTGTGGGGTTTTCTGACAAAAAAATCAAAAATTTGAGGAAAGCAAAGACTTTCTACCCCACTTTTCATTTAGTAGAAAACAATTTTCCATTAAGAAAATGTTGACCAGCCCTATTGTGGGATAAAGTGATTTCTTTTTCTTTTATGGCTAGTTGCCTGTCATTTTATGGAAGTGTTGAAAAGGAGAATTTGTAACCTTTTACAAGAACAAGAGATGGTGAGCCATAAGCCTAGAGAGTGGATTTTCCGCAGAGCTCTGTCTAGCGAGTTCATACTTGAAGGCACTTCATTCAGGTAACGTTGTATATTCTTGTATAGTTGCATCATGTTGGCCATTTGAATTTCAAATAGCTCACATTTTTGGAATACCAACAAGAAGTCATATGTCTGTATCACGTCCCTTAAAGCATTACTGGAAGGGACTCGGATACAACAGTGATGAGGGTGGTATAAGAACTTATACAGAAGACTAGCATATGTTTTAAAAATCACAATTAATCAGGGTATTGGCAACAAAATCTTAGGTCATTGGACAGTTAAAGGGTCTTGTTTGTAACAAGAACAAAGAACAAGAACAAAATTGATCAGCTGTATGAAATGTGCCAAACCCTACAGATAAATAACTTGAAAGTTTTGTATCAGAGGGGTAGTCATGTTAGTCTGAATCTGTAAAAAGCAACAGAGGGTCCTGTGGCACCTTTGAGACTAAC